CCCTAGCTATCACTGTCACCTATCTGGGCATGTTTCCATCTATTGATGGGGTGGTGTCGACCTGACTATCACCTGCGTGCGCACAGCTGGCACTGGCTGTTATCACCATCACTGGTATGGTTATTATCATCTAAGACAAACGGTGCTGTGTGATGAGACCAGGCAGAGGGCGATACTTCTGGGCTTGACTGACCCGAGCTGGCTGCAGAGTAGGCTCAAGTGGAACAGAAGCCTACACCTCTAGGCTTACCACGGCTCTGTGATGGGGCAGGTACAGTTAAGTGTGGCTGCAGGCACCATGCAGAGACAGAGGCTCTGATCATTCCTGAGATGCTCTCATGTTTGCCCATCTTTTTCAGTATGCAGACATTACTCACTCTGGGCACCGGTCTGCACCCCGGCCTCTGTCCTCAAGAAGCTGACATGTTGGAGAAGAGATGGACATCAAGGCACCACAAAGAGTGACCTGCTTGAGAAGAAGCAAAGCCGGAAGTCAGGTGGGGTGGTGAGCACCTATAATCTCAGCACTCAGAGAGGCAGAGACAGAAGTATTGATTGTAAGTTTGAGTCTTGTCAGGGCAATTTAGCAAGATTTGTGGAGAAATTTTAAAAATTTTAAAAAAGGCTGAGGATGTAACTCAGCATGAAGGCCCTGGATTCAATCCTCAGTACTGAGAAAAACAAACAACAACAAAACTGCAAAGGAGATAAGTCCTGCAATGGGCAGGCCTCTCCCTGAAAGAAGAGAACTGGAGGAGACACCGTGAATGACTGCGGGGTCAGCAATAGGACCACTGTGGTGGCCAGGCAGAGGGTCTGGAGGGGAGGCCGAGGGAGGTGGGTGTCTTGGGGACCTTGAGGCATTTGCTTCTCTCACCCATTTTGCATTTGGTTGGGCCTGTGCTGAGGGAGCCGGCCTGGAGAAGCGCTGTGGGTTGAAGCTGGGTCAAGGTCTGGGGTGGGCAGAAGAAATCCTGGCAGCTCTCCAGAGGTGTTCCTGGGGAGCATCAGGTGCAGCTGCCTGCCAGGCCAGGCAAAAACATCAGGGAGGGGCTGTTGATTGATTTATGCCCTAAATGTTGATGATTGATTTATGCCAAACACAGGATATTATATTAAGATGTGATTGCCACAAGAGTGGGTAACTGCTGAATAGAGAGGTTGAAATTCTCAGCCTTTTGCCCACAGGGAGAGCAAACCACAGCCTTTAGGACAGTATCCTTGTTATAAAAGGGGGCCTCACTGTCCTCAAAATGAAATAGGGATTCTGAATGGGCCAAGCCTCCCACCCCACCCCACCTCAGCCTCCCTGACCTGTAGTTCTGAGATGCTTAAGTCTGTGTATGGTTCTGGATCATGTGCCCAGCCCAGGCTGAAAGGGATGAGCCTTAGCCACATCCTTGCCCTGAAGAAGGTCCTTGATGGAAGGGAAGAAAGAGAACTGCAATTTAATGGACAGCTGGGTTCAGGGCCATACTGCAGGTGACAGGAATATTTCTGTGTTATGGGACAGCTGACTTGAGCTCATCTCAGTGGCTTTTCCCAGGGTTGCTCAAGGATAAGAAGTGTTTTATTGCAGAAGCTGTTATCTCCATTGTCCACAGAAGGAAATGGAACCTCAGCAAAGGATGCACCCAAAGGCCCTGTGCTAGAGAGGGGCAGTCTTGAGGTATTGGTCATCCCCCGAGCAGGTCCACTTGGCCATTCTGAACACTCCTACTGGAGGGAGGCAAGATGCCTGGTTCTCTTAGGGCAGGGAGGGCATAAGCCCCTTTTGACAACACAGGGAGTCCAGGTTCAGGTGTATAAACTGATCAGAGAAGAATCTGCTCACATGTCTGATGCTCTGCTCCTCAGTCCTTGCATTTGGAGCATGAGTGTCTCTCTGTAGAGAGGTTAGTGCTCCTATGCTGGGCAAAGGACTATACACTGAGGGCCCAGGACAACCTCAAAAGAGACATGATATGATTAAGAATTGAACCCTGGGGGCTGCAGGTTTAGCCCAATGGTAGAGTGCTTGATTAGCATTTACAAAGCCCTTAGTTTGATCCCTAGTACCATAAAACAAAACAAAGCAAAACAAACAGAAACATCAGATTCTGCAAGCTGGTTGGAAGGAGTGATGCAAGCCCTATACTGCAGGCCTTGGGTAGTTAGGCCAACTTCTTTACTGAGACATTCTTCGTTGTGTAAAGTTGAGCAAGACGCTTGCTCATTCTGTGAAATGCGTCTGATCATGGAGCCCAGGAGAAAGACCTCTTGGTCTCATACAAACTATCCTGGTGGACAACTGGATAGGGATTGTGTGAGTATGTGGGTGCTCCAGGCTTCAGGATGCCCTAGCCGTACGTTCACCGCCCCTGCCCTAGATTCACCCTCTTCTTCCAGAGCTGTCGGAATCCTGGATTCAGAGGAGTGTTGTGGTATTCCTGTCCCTTCTCTTGTCCCTCACCTAAGGGGGACTCTGGGAACCCATGGTGGGGCCAATTGAGAGGGCTGACTCAGGCCTGTTCCTGCTGGGATACCTGAGAAGATTCCTAGTATGAGGAAGAGGAACTTCAAGGGCTACTTCCTTTATTCTTGCCTTCAGTTTTTGTCTTCTGGGGATAGGGGCAGCAGAGGGTCGGGAGCTGAGTCATTTCCCATCTTGGTCACTTGGGGGGAGAAGGAGGAAAACTTTCTTGAGAGCTTTTGGTCCTCTGAGAGATTGGTCTTCCAGGAGGAGGAGGAGGAAACCAGGACATTGTATGCCTATACAGGGGAGGGATGGAGCAATAGGGTGGAGTCCCCTTGACACCCATTTTTCTTTGTATTGCAGTCCTAATCAGTCACCAGGCAGGGAGGCAAGGTTCTCGTCCTAGGGACACACCTGGTGATGAGCCCTAGCTTCACCATCCAGCAGCACTGTGACTAGGCAAGTGACCACACTTCTCTGTGCCTCCATTTCTTTATTTGTAAAATGGGGCAATGAGTGTATATACTCCAGTTATACTGACAGCCAGTCACTTTAGCCAGGTCCTAAGCATACAGCTAAGCATGCAGTGGGCACCCAGTAAAGTCAGCTGTTCTACCCTGCCCAGAGCTCTGCTCAGTGCCCTAAGTATGCTCATTGCATTTAACCAGCAGTACAGCCCTATGAAGTAGGAATCTCCACTAACTCTTTGAGCACAGGGAAACTGAGGCACTGACTGGTAAAGGGACTTGCCTCCACAGTTGCTCAGTAAAGGGAGGTGGAATTTTCAAATTCAGTGCAACCTGAGTCCATTGAGTGCTCTGGGTGACCCTGGGGCCTGGGTGACAGCCTGGAGCCTGAAGCTGGGGCTGGTGGGGTCTGCAGAGGGCTCTGTGTTGAGCTGCCAGTGATTTGGGCGGTGGCCAGGGCCATCCTCCTTGGTTAAAATCCTGCAGCCAGTCTCCCTGCTGCGCAGACACGTAATTATATTTCACATTAAAGGGGAAGCAGAGGCCAAGGGGGACAGGGAGCCCTTTGAGGCTCATGCTCTGGGCACACATCTGTCTCCTCAGTCCAATTCTGTGGCCCTAGGGCCAAATAGGGGTTCAGGCCAGTGATAAAATGGGGTTTCCCTGGGTCGGGGGTGAGCTGATTTGGTCTGTTATGCCAGGATGAAAGGCCTCAGCCCTGTGGGAGGCAGAGAAATGTGAGGCCCAGACAATGCACCCCAGGAGGCTGGAAGAGCAGGGCTCTTGGGGACAGGCTGGGGAGGAAGCTTGAGCCTTAAAGGGGGTCACATGGGGGGTCAAGCTAGCAGAGACAGGGCAGGGGAAGGAGCATAGATGGGAGAAAGCCGGAGATGGGAGAAGCCAGAGCACAAGATGGGGAGGAGAGATGTGCTGTTAATGGGTGTGTGTGTGCCCCCATAAGAGTGTGTGTTTGTGTTCTCAGTGGGCATGGGGAAATGATTTTGAGGGAATGCACAAGCTTCAATGAGTGCATTTGTGCACAAGTACAGATACCACCCTACATGTGCACACAGAAACCTGTGCACCTGCAACCATCGTGCATGTCTGGGCATGTATTTGGGATATGTGGATGTGATGCTGAACCTGTACAGCCAGCTATGTGCACACGTGTCCAAGATTCCCTTGCCTGCGTGTGCATGCCTATGTGCATGCTCGCCATGCACCTGTGTGCGCGCGTGTCCCTGGCAGGATGTGTCGTGTGTGTGTGTGTGTGTGTGTGTGTGTGTGTGTG